TTCTGGGCTGACCTAGAAGTAAGAAATTTCATTTCTGTTCCTATAGGAACAGTTTTGTGACTGACAAGATGACTCAAGATAAAATTCCAGCTACACTAGACTGGTGCCTGTTTGTTCTAAAAAAAAGCCTGTAGTCTGTAATTAAGTTCCAAATTACGTAGTACAATTTACAGTTAACACAGACATCTCTCAAGCAGTATCTACGTTCAGCTGCTAAAGGAGCAATATATAGTACTTCAGACTTGAAATAAACCCAGCATCGCTATCTGATGATAGCGAAGAAGAACTATTTAGTGTCCAAAGTAGTATAATTATCTAGAAAAACAAAAAAACAAAAAACCTGATCTTTCTTTGTAGAGGTCAGTGATATTTTGCAAAGCTGGAACTCATTGCCTCTCTTTAAAATAAAGTTAAATGACTAGTAAAACATCACAGTAGATATCTTCTGACAGACAGATCTGATCTTGCTGCCTCTCAGAGAGATTACATTTTCTTTTAAATGTTAAGCATTTATATTCCATCTATAGGTATTGGACTAATGCTAAAAGAGGAATATCCTCCCTCAAATGTTTAAGATCTTGGTATAAGAAAATAAAGCAATGAAACCTGTAGAAACCACCCAAACGGGATACTGATTCATGATGATATAGTCCTTTTGGTGCCCCAGGCTTATGATTCCAAAGATATCATTTAACCCACCACACATGATGCATACCTCGACAGTGTCTCAGAACTTGTTAGTGTCAGCTCTGACATCAACACTAAGTTGTAGCTGTTGCAGATATTACTATCACTGCTGGTGCATATAGCATCTGTCAGCTCTGTACTGGACCATATGATGTGTGTCAGGATCATATGATGCCTTCCTTTTTGAACTCTTACAGCAGTCCAGCCCTTGTAAGTTAGTAGACAACGGAGCAAAATCTGGAGACCTTTTCATAATCCTACAGTGTAGCCTACTTAATTACATCAGAGTCCGAATTAGTTCTGTACTACAGTGTCCTACTTGGGCCCCAGCTTCAAAATCTTTACAGTTCCACACAACTGACAGCATAAGAACTCGGAAGTTTAGTTTCATAGGGCCCTTTTAAGGGCAGCTTTTAGGAGGCAGGGTCTATGAAGGGCAGCAGGACAGTTACTTCTTCAGTTATTAGGCAGAAGTAGCAAGCCTTCATGAAGATGCTGGCAATTGTAGATGGTGCACAAAGCTATAAATCACCTTTTATTCTATGAAGTAAGTCTCTAAAGTTCCTGACAGGTAGGTGTGTTATTTCTGCCAAACATAAGGTAAATTTACAAAGGGCTTAAGCTCACCTACTGGTTATAAAGCTGCTCTGGCCTTCTTCTGTCTACAGCAAAGCATTTCTTACAGAGGAAAAAGCTAGCTGCAAACAAACAAAAACAATTTACAGCGTGCCCCAGCATGTTTGAGGTACGTTATTTGCAGCTACCACATAAAAAACAAACAAAAACCCAAACACACACACCACAAACCACCATACATATCAAGCACAGGAGTTTTTTTCCAATCAAAAATTTTATTGATATTCCTGGCAAATCAATCTCAGTTTATGATCTTGGTCTCTCCTTCTTGCCCTTGTACAAGGCCAAGAGAGAAACATTGGCTACTTTGACAACCTTGAAACGAACTCCAGGAATGTCACCAACAGCATGACCCTTCCGACCAAAACCAGCAACGAGAACTTCATCGTTTTCCTAGAATGAAAGACAGTTACCGAGTTATAAACATTCTGAACACTTCTGAATTCATTTACATTAAATTTGAGCCAGGGTGAAAAGGTGAAAGAACAGGAAATACTGAGGGCTGTTGATTGATATACATAAGTTATAGAATATTATCCCCTTATTATCCCGTTCAGTATTTTGGAGAAGGGAAACATAAGCTGAGGTGTTCTTTAACTTGCAGTAATGCTGCTGAGGGCTGGTTTAGCTTAGCAAGTGCAAAGTACAAAGCCACCTCTGGCATTTTTTTCATCTCCCTCTGCAGATACAGTATTAAGATACACACAATTGAAAATGTCATGAACCTAATCTGGTCATTGCCTGATTCCATCAGCTATGCGTTTCTTTACTTTCATGTACAACTTTCTAGAGGTTGTTTCTTGAAAATTATTCACCTCAATGAAGTTTAAGCAACCATCGTTGGGAACAAACGCTGTTATTTTTTTGCCATTCTTGATCAGCTGGACCCTGACACATTTCCTGATGGCAGAATTGGGCTGTTTAGCCTCTACTCCACTAAAATGGAAGCACAGAAAAATACATTAGCAAACATCTATTTCAATAATTAGCAGACATTCATGACAGCACTGTAAATTAGTGTATTATTTTATACTAACTCTAAGTTGCATCTGTATTTCAAACCCCCAAATTATTAGTGATCTACTTGAAGTTATGCAACATCCAAGACTTAATTAGTTGCTAAAGAGGGGAAAATTGGAAGGTGAGTGTCCTCGAGACAAGTACCAGCTCAGGAAGTATAAATTTGAAAGAGAAAAGAAATAGTTTGGAGTCCTCAGCAGTGGTATAAATCATCATCAAAACCTGGAAGCGTCTGAACAAAGATGAAAAACTTCTAACAAAAAGCCAGAACACAAGCAGATACATCTTTGAGACTTGCTGACTGCATCAAACAAACCACACTCAGAACTCTCCCTCCGCACCCAGTAAACTAAATTGAAGTGTTTGGTAAAATTCTTATTTCTCTTTGCATAGAGGATAAAAACAATTTCAAAAACATGGAAGTGTATGAGAACAAGTACCTTTCTAAGTTGTCATTTAGGAAAATAAATTAGCATACAGCAACTACAAAATAACTAAAATTGGCATGTTACAGATAGAAAAACTCTAACATATTTAGGAAAAAACCAGCTTCAAGGTGTCCCTTTCTTAAGGTCCCATGCAAGACCTTTCAAAGGTCCCACACTGCCAGGGCTTTTCCTGGTGACGGCAAGGACCCCGGCACTGGGCTGCGCCAGGCCGCGGGTCAGGCACAGGCCCGAGGTGCCTGGGGCACGAGCTGAGCCCGCTGCCCCAGGCCCTCAGCCCAGGCAG